ATGCCCATCCTCCTTTCTGACATAATTGGTGTGCCAGGAGAAGTTGTGTCTCACTGCCAAAAAAAACCCTAAACCATTTAAATACCATATTTCTGTAGGTCTTTGAAAGGTTTGGAGAATACCTAACATCTCAAATACATCTTTATATCTCTAGAAAACCTAACTAACCTAATTATAAGTTCTGACTATTATAGGTAAAAGATCTGTATAAACACAATACCTAAACAAGAGGAGACATATACATATCACAAAATTGACCTTAAAGTTATATCAATAAATGAAAATCTATACCAATGCAAAGTATTCATTCCTATATCCTATTCCCCTTTTTTTCTTTAAAAAACATTGACTATGCTCATTATCATTTATAACCAACCCCATTTGAATGAAAACAAACATTTATAAACAATATTTGGGAATATGGGCATTGTTCTTTCTAAACTGCTGCCTGCTGATTGAGGGCGATGTTCATACCATAGGGAATCATGATAAAACATAGAAACCTGACCAAATCCTTGTTTTTGTAGTCGGTAAGGCTGTATCGTCTCAGCTTCAGGGTGTCTTGCTTGATCAAACCGTATTAGTCTGGAAGGAATCCATAGCTTTTTATTTTCTGTGGAAACACAAACAGAAATTTTTTTCCAAGTACCCTGTCCTTAGACTTAAATTTTGAAGTCCAAGTATTTTTAAAATGTATAAGTTGGATTAATTTAGCAGCATTTATAATCAAATGTATTTCCTCAGCAATCAATTTAAAGACAACAATATGGCATAAAGTATCCAGATTCTCTGTGTATTTTCCATCTTTATGTGGTTTTTTTATTACTTTATTTTTACTTTCTTTTGTGCTTTATTTCTGAGACGGGGTTTCTCTGTGGAAATCCCCCTGCCTCTGCTTCCTTCAGCAAATCCTACCGGCGTTGGCCACCACAACCCTCAATCCTTCCAGTAACCTCAGAATATAATAAACTTAAGATAAATATATGTTCATTTACTATTCCAGACCCAGACAATCTTTCAAATATACTTACATGCACCAAATATGCACACCCTTAATACAAATCTTGTACAATGATAGACATTTCTTTAAAAGTAAACATACAAGTCTTCTCTTTAAAATGAATCATTTTATGGCCTACCTGGTGATGAGACTCCACACTTTGGACAAGTCTTCTAGAGATATCTGCTACTTGTTATCATTGCATACCTATAACATCCAAAGTATTCATATATTGATAAAAATTCTTCATGCAACAAAATCATATACATATAAGTAACACTAAATGAATTGAACAGGTTGTACTTATACATTGGGCGTGTGTGTGTGTGTGTGTGTGTGTGTGTGTGTGTTTGTAAAACAATGAGAAATAAAGAAAAAGAGATCCTGCATTTCTGAGAGAACAACGTGGGGTATACATGGAGGGAGGGAATCAAGGAAATAGAAAATGGAAATTGATACAAGATTTTAATTAAAGATGGAAATGAAATTTTTTTTCTGTACAGCTACACCTAAAAACAAATGTTACAGTGTAACTTAAAAATTCATAAAGTATGTATGTGTATTTCATTATAATAACCATCAATGATACTAATCTCCCTGAATTTTTGTTATGACAAATTATACTCTAATTTGTATATATATTAAAACACCTAATATTCTATTCCTTTTATATAAATATAGATGCATCTATTTTCTAATTTTACTGTTTTTGATTCATTTCACACAGTCACAATAAAATTACAAAAACATTAAGGGATATTTAATTTCACTTAAAATTATAATCATAAGATATGTGGGTTCAAAGGTCACTTATCAACTTCCATTTTTATCACAGTAAAACAATGTAAAGTGTTAGCATGTAAGAGAACACTTTTAAAGTAACCAAAAAGACATCCATCAATCTTCTTTTTTTAATTTGGTGATGATGATGATGATGCTTCTCAGTGTTTCACCTGCATGTAACCCTGTTAAGCAAGGGCATGATACAATTCTAAAGCGCTTTCTCTCTTAGGGAGAGTAATTATCTGTCCTTAGGACTTCAGACTGTGTAGACTGTCTACCTCTGCCAGTCTTGATACTGCACACATTGAGAAATTTTCCCTTTCTGCCTCTGACCCCAGGGCTTTTTTTCTGCTTTTCTCATGTGCTATGGCCTATGTGGTTATATGCATCAGCCTTGGCTTTTTTGTTTAAGGAGTGATACTTTGGCATCAGAGGCAAAAATAGATGCAGATGGAATCCCATCATGGATTGGGAGGAGCTATGAGGTTCCACCTCTCCCCAAGGGAAAACTGACAATTAATGGAATTAATGGTTGATAGAGGAGGAGGAGATCCTATTGTCTTCAGTGACACAACCACCGATAAGTTGCCCTTACACAGAAATTAATTAATTAATGACTTTTAATTAAAACCAAATAGGTCATAGCACAGCCAACATTTATTTTTAGTGTCTGAAATATTTCATCTCAGTGGATGCTTATTTGATTATGATGATGTCAACCAATCAACCAGTTAGAATTAATGTTTGCAGTCCTAAAAGAGGTTTCATCAAACTCCTCCCCTCAAGGCTCTGAGATCTATTCCAAAAAGAGGAGGCAGAAAGATTCTAAGAGCCTGGGGTAATGGAAGATGCCAGGTAATAAAGTGATTTGCAGACCCAACAGTACTGATGCATATATGGAGTCACAGACACTGAGGTAGCATACACAAGACCTGCACAGATTCAAGTCACACAGGGTCTCAGCATTGAGAGAGGAAAATGGACGCAGGTTCCCACCTCTAGCCTAGAAGCTTCTTGGAAATGATACCTATTAGCAAAAGGAAAGTCAGTTTTTTCCAAAGGAGTTTCACTGGATATATTAGCCACACTCCAGGGCAGGAGCCATATCCAGAAGTAGGCCAACATAAAAGGAACCCCATGTGTTTTTTTTTTTTTTTTTTTTTTTTTGCAGAGGAGTTTTTGTTACATTTGGGTTTGTTTTGACATTTTATTTTTGTCTTACTGGTTTTTATTATTTGTTTTGATTTTGTTTTTGTTTTTGTGGGCTTTAGAAAGAACATGTTTGCTGGATAAGGCAGTAGAAAGGATCTAGGAGGAGCTTGGGGTAGGGGTAAACATGATCAAAATATATTGTACCATAAAATTACAAGAAAAAGGTAATGTTCACACTATCTTCCAGTTTGGTTTGACCACTACATGAACATATATGGTCCTTCTCCCTTCTAAGTTAATTCGATTTGTTTAAGGCACTAAATAGCTTAAGTGAATTTTCAAACGCTAGTTTCTAAGGAAAATATGCTTTGGAGATCAAAAATGAGCAGTGTAGTGTGTTTCAGGGGTTGCTCCCTGTATGACTGCTGTTGTATTAGCTGTTGGTGTTAAAAAAATTGAAAGTGGATACTTGTGTTTATTGTGTACAAAGTTCATCCCACAACATCTGAACTTCATGAATGTCCTAAAGGAGAGCATATGGTTAAAAGTATAGCTTCATAGATTGACAGAAAAGGTGCCTCTTGAATTGTTACGCCATGTCTGGACAGTGTGAGTTAATTCATGTTGCTAGGCTGACTGGAGAGGCAGAGAGGTTCACAGGGCGAGATCTTCGGTGCTGTGCCGTGTTGAGATTGACATCCTGAGGACCCCTGCCGTAGGTGCATCTTCAGTGCTCTATAGGAATACATTTATTGAGCAGGAACACCTTCATATTTTAGTATATAGATCAGGTGATAAACTTAGGAATGCTGTACTTAGTTGGTCTGTTGCTTTGTGTTTCCTTATAAGCTGAACATTGAGGGAATCGGAATTTTAATTGTAACTTCGCCAGTACTTCTATCTAGAAGCCTGCTGCCATTTTTGTCTTCTATGAAATTTTTGTTGCCAAGGAAGACAGAATTACAGTCTTGTCTGACAGATTGAGATGGCATGGTGTATTCTTGGTTATCAAAATACTCATGTAGCGTTGGGGCTTTTAGTTGGTGAATATTCACATTGTGGGGGAAAGCTTGCTACATATTGTATAATCTCAATTCCCTAAATGTATGTACATTGCAGCATCTAGAAGGACACAGCAAGCTGAGCTGCTTGTGACTGAGAGACTGTTCTTGGCTTCTTGTGCTTTGTTTCCTGTAATGCACATACTAAAAATAAATAAAAGCCTCTTTTAAAAGCTTAAAAAAATTGCAAGTGACATAGATTGAGCTACTTATCATAGAAAAAGCCAGGATTTGAAGTTTAGGATTCATTTTCTTTCATTTAATAGATTTATTCACAGAGTGTAAAAGGTACTTCTTAATTCGGTCTCTGTGACAACAATCTTTTTTTTTTTTTTCTTAAAGGAAATATCCTTGGAATGATGTAGAATCCTGAGCCTGGCTTCTTTCTACAAATCCAAAGCTTTCCTTGTAAAATGGCTTAGTAATCTACCTGGTCCCAGTGGTTACCAAATCACCATTAAACATCTAGTTCCCTTCTTATGCCCCACAAATTGTTTTCATTTTGGCATTTGTAGGGGGAAGATGAATCTACTTTCATAGATAGATTGAGTACAAGAAATAATACAAGCTGGGCAGTGGTGGCTCATGCCTTTATCCCAGCCCTCAGAAGGCCGAGGCAGGTGGATCTCTGAGTTTGAGGCCAGCCTGGTCTGTAGAATGACTTCCAGGACAGCCATGCTACACAGAGAAACACTGTCTCAAAAATAAACAAAATAAAACAAAACAAAAAAGATAATAGAATAAAATATGTATTTGAGTATTTGAGTCTTGGTTCCAAACCTTATTATCTATACCAATTCTGAAGCTCTCTGAATTTTTAGATTCTTAATCTATGAAAGGGGACTAAGCTCCTGCTCAATCAGGCTTTGTAGGACAGTTGAAACAATCTAGCCAAAAGTTCTCCATAAATATCCATTTTCTTCATAAGGTCCTCAAAGAAAATAATCTATGTTCAATCGAGAAATAAAGGTAAAATATAACCTAAAAAGAAATGGCTAACATTATGCAAACAGGCTACCATATAGATGTATCCTGGGCTCCATGGGCCTTAAGTTACAACAGCTTGCCTCTGTAATGGTACTCTGAAACTGGCCACAAGCAATGTGTATAGAATGTAGTGTCTACCTGGCATGGTGGCACATGCCTTTAGTTACAGCACTAGGCAGGTGGCTTCCTGAATTTGAGGGCACTCTGGTCTACAGAACAAGTTCTAGGACAGGCAGGGCTACACAGAGAAACTCTGTATTAAATAAATAAATATGTAGTGTCAATGAATTTTGTTATCAGAGTTATATGTACTCCTAAATTTTCAATTTCATACAATTTTCCCATGAGCTGTTCTAATTTTTCAAAAATATTTAGTGATTTATTTAAGTGTGTGTGTGGTGTGTGTGGGGTGGGCATATGTGCTATGGCATATATGTCTAGAGGCCAGAGGACAACTGTGTGGAGTTGGTTCTCCCCTTCTACATTCTTATGGGTTACAGAAATTGAATTTAGGTTTTCACCCAATTGCTTTCACCAACAGAATCATCTCTCTTCAAAAATACACTTAGCCATGGAGCAATGGATAAAAGCACAAGTCAGTCTGGGTTTGGCCTATGAGCCATGGTTGAAAAATTCCTTCTAAAGTATCAATATCAAAGTCATCAAAAGATTATCTAGCTGGTCGTGGTAGTCTATGTCTCTAAGTCAAACACTCTTGAGACCAAGGTAGGAAGATCACTCTGAGTTTGAGGTCAGCATGGTCTACAAGTCCCAGGCAAGTCTGGGACACACTGTGAAACCTTTTCAAATGAAAAAAAAAAAAAAAAAGTATAGCTAAAGCACTGACGGTAGAAATTTGTACATGGTGAGGTGGGTCAGCCCTGCTTCCTGCCTACCATCTACTTCCCTAAGAAGCGTTAATCCATTTTACCTCCTCTTTCCCATGTCTCTGGCAGCCCTTGTCCTGTGCTCTTTTTTTAATGGACTGTTGGTCTGTGTTATAGTAAAAATCAAACTTCCAAGTATGAGCAGAGACTTTTCAGACAGAAAATTGTCGAAGATGAAGTGCTTCCCTCCCTCCTGGCTGCTTACATCCTATCTTCTTCCCTCCTGATGGCTAGGATCCCCACATTAGTTCTAGTGGAGTGATGGGCAAGTGTCTGGGCAACACCTACACACCTTGCCTTGTGTGGTCCTAGGGTTACTTCACTTACAAATACCTAGTTTTCTATGAACATGCCAAGGACCTTGAAATGATCTATGTCATATAATTGATTTGGAGTTTTGCCAATAAATTATCTATAACAATAGGAGAGTTGGGATAAGATGCTGGAGCTCTATTTAGGTATTAAACAATTTTAAGAAAAAACACATTTTAAGAAAAAAGTGGGCACATTGAAACAAATAACTTGTCTTCTAGGACTTCTCAGCAAAATAATTCATAGAATGAGAATATATTGAATTTTTATGTGACCTCAGAAGCACGTTTTACATTGTTATTTCCGAACTTTAGGGCCTAAAATAGCATTCAGTGCTTTGCATGTGACCAATTGAGTGTGTTATAATTCAGCAGACTATGACAGGAAGCTGCACAATGAAGGGTACTGTTTTATTTTACTTTTATACTTTTAATTTAATCTGTGTGCAATGTGCTGGTTGCAGAGGAATAAACTGTAATATCTTGTCCCTTGCAGTAATAAGAACCCAAACCAGTATTCTCCCAAGGAGAGGAAGACATAGACACAGAGAATGGCAACATGACCCATTGAAGTATGGGGAAGGGTAGATTATAATTTCTACTTACCTTTACTTTTAATGTAAACAATTGGAAAGGAAGTTAGGGCTTATTAACTTATTTATTGGATCTGTTAATGTCAGATGCTATGTTTACCAAAAGGTCTGATGAAAGGGCCATGAGAAAGGGTGGATATTACTAGAGAGTAGGTAGGAATTCTGCAGCCCTTATTGTTTTTGAGAATGTTATAGTTTATGTATATTCAGTAGCTGCATTAGCAGTCAAATTACATAGCATCAACTAAATTTAACATTATGGTTTTGAAGACTCAGGAAGGCAGAGCTCTGATAATGCCCAGAGTTGGTAAGCCCCTCTGTGGAAAGTTATGAAAGTCAGAGCACCCAGTGCATGCAGAGTCTACCTTCAGGGAGCGTATGCATGTATAGGTTTGTTGATGTGGTGTGCTAGGAATGAAGGCAGAGGGACTATTCACTCTCCTGGTGACGCAAGCAGAATTTTCACCCTCCTGGCTCCAGGTGACTTCTGGCCTATAGTAATCAGTGACATAAGCTAGAAGGGAAGTTGTAGGAGTGTCCACTTTTCAGACCTAGAAAAATTGCCCCAGTCTCTTTTCAGCTAAGGATTGCTGTATCTTACCTGTAGAGCTAACCGGACAAGAGGATGTGGGAGTGTCACTCCTTCCATTCTTGGGGTCAAAGTCCTCTCACCTCTTTCTACTGAGAGACTGCAGAGCTTATCTCAGGAACAAGTCAGAAATAGGGTGAAGAAAGGATCCACTCTCCTGCTTATGGAAAGAAATGGCACATCTTTCTTGTAGATGTAGCTTTCTGGTCTGTAGTCATCACTGTAGTAAACCAGGAAGCAAGGGGCAACCATGAAGTGGTCCTTCACTTCCTTCTTACCAGAGGCTGTAGATATCTGTATCAGGAGTGAGAGATGGGGGGAAGGCTCAAGAAGTGCTACTTTCTCTTCTTGCTGGCAGAGGCTTCTGATCTCTTTCCAAAGAGAGGTGGCATGGTTAGAATTATCAATGGAACAAGCTGAGAAGGCAACAGACAGTTGCTCTCCCGATAAAATAAACAGAAGTTTTGCATCCTTTTTGCAGGGGAAGATGTCTTGTTATGAGTTATCACTATGGCAAGTCACAGAAGATGACACAGGGAACATCAGCTTCCTTCTTAGGCACAGACAGGTCCTCTGGCTTCCCTCTGAGAGATTGCATATATTTATCTCAGGAGCAAGCTAAGAAAGGAGCTGCAGAATGCTGTCCTCCTCTTGGAATTGGCAGAGGACTCCAGCCTCTCCCCATGAAAAGATTATGAATCTGAAAATGTCGCTAGCTCAAGCCAAGGATGAAGGCATGGACTGTACTATTTATTCAGGCTAGTTAGACTGGGGCAATCTATTTCTTATTGCTGTATAGGCGCTCAACTACCGACTCCCTAGACATGGGGATCTTCTGGAGATGTGTGTGGCTACACCCTTCCCAGGGAAAGATGGAAGTGAGGTAGCCTGTGGGAGCTACCGATGCTGGAATGATTTCTCAATTGAAAACCTCCTTTGTAAGTTGTGCTTGCAGAAAACCCTCTGCTTCCCAGTCTCTGATGTTTGGGTGCAGTGGGTTAGCAGCCATGCCCTCTAAGGGACTTTAGAGCTGGGCACTCCTGTGACAGGAGCCCTTCAGTGCTGTGAAGAAGCTAAGGTGGAATTTCCTTTCTGAGTCCGAAGGGTTATGTGCAGTGACTCAGCATTCCAGAGTCATTTGTCTATCTTTGGACATTTCTCATTCTTCGGCTGTATGGGAATCCTGAAGTGGATTCTGGCTCTTTCAGGAAAGATCAGAAGTGTGTAGAGGGGTTTGCTTGCTGTGTCTGTAGGAAGAGGATAGCCAGGAGCCCCCAATTACCCCCAGCTGCTGTGGCTATTTTGACCTTTTAAAATGTCAATGCCTTGTGTCATTTATATAATAAATTAGTACAGTATTGTTTGTATGCAATCTATGATTAAGTTTCTAAGTCACAAATGAAAGTATGTGATGTCAAGGAGGTTCTACTCAGAGGACGAAATGAACAGTCAAAAGTTCCCAAAGGAAATATCTATAACCAGCCAATTAGATATGTGAAGCAGCACAAAAGTTAAAATTAAGCTTATTCCATGAGCATATTGTCAGAAATAGGCTAAATTTATTTACCCTAGAGATGATATGGTTTGCTAGTTTCTATTATGGTTCTAAATTAACATAAAAATTAATGGGCTTCATTATGACATTTTCATCCACATTTGTCATTATACTTTGTTCTAATCCAGCCCTCTTTACCACTTCATTATGCCCCTGCCCCCCTTGGACTGTTTCCCTTCCTTTCTCCAGATAGTCTCTCCTTCATATGTCACATGTATTCCACCACCGTCTCTTCCCTAATTCTTCCTCCTCCTGATGATCTTATCTCTAGTACCAGAACCTGCATATTTACACAGAAACACACAGAGAGACAGATAGACACACATACATATACACACACAGATGCTCAGACACATGTACACACATATGTATATACACACAGACAGACACACATAGACACTTAGACACATGAACACACATGCACGTACACACACACAGACAGGCACATATAATTTTATACCTAGGTTCTGCATATGTAGCATTAGGAATTAAAATTTCATAGTAGCTTATTTTCCTTAACCTAATGATTTCTAGCTCCACACATTTTCCTGCAACTGTTATGATTTAATTTGTCTTCGTTTCTGAATAAAGTTTTATTGCTTGTGGAACTGGAGAGATGACTCTGTGATTAGGAGTGCTTAATGCTGTTGAGTATGACCTCATTTTGGGTCTCAGCACCCACATGGCTGCTCACAACTGCCTGTAACCTGATTCCAAGGAAGCTGATGCCCTCTTCAGATGTTGATCGTGTCTGTGTACACATGGTACACATACATACTTTCAAGCACACAGACAAATAAAATAAAATAAATATTTCTTAAAGTTCACTGAATAGATGAACCACATCTTCTTAACCCATTTATCTGTTGACTGACAGAAGAGCTGTTTCATCTTCACTCTATTGTGAATAGTGAAGCAATGAATATGGTGTTAAAGTAAGAGAGGGTATGCTTATTAGCCAGCCATAAAAGCTGTCAGAGTTGTATGTCATTTGCATGTGGGAGACCAGAAACTTGCAAACTATATAAACATCAAGATATCCTACCATTAACAAATATTCATGAATTTTTTCAAAAGAGCAACACCAAATGCAATAGCTTCAAAAAAAACCCAGAATATACATAAACAATGCTCATTCATGTCTCAAAAACCCAATAAATAAATAAATAAATAAATAAATAAAAATTAAAAAAACTATAAAGATTTCCATGTTCATAAACTAGAAAACAACATTGTTAAAGTCAATCACCCTCTGAATCGATAAGTATAATCCTAGTAAAGATCCCAATAATCTTTCTATTTTCAGAAGAAATTGGAAATCAGATTCTAGAGTTCGTAAAGACAAAGTTCAAACCTTTATGCTTTAAAATCTTGGATAAAGTCTTTATAACCTTGTGTTCTTCAACCATTTCTCGATAATATAAAAAAAAAAGAGTATGGATCATAAGAAACTAAACAACGGTGCTGGAGAAATGGCTTGGCTGTCAAGAGAACTTGCTGCTTTTCCAGAGGACCTCAGTTTGGTTTGGATACTTCACAATCTCATGTAACTCCAGTACCTGAAGATCAAAGCCTTCCTCTGAAGATCATGGAGGCCTCCACAGGCATCTGCACAAATGTGGTGCACACTTGTGCTCTCTCTCTCTCTCTCTCTCTCTCTCTCTCTCTCTCTCACACACACACACACACACACACAAATACAAATAAAAATAAACTTAAAACGAAACAGAAAAATGTTAAGCTAGCCATCATCAAAATTAAATAATTTCTCCTAACAGAATCAGCATTCTGAGTAATGAAAACAGAAGAGTCTTGGAGGAAAGAATATGCAGAGCATCATACACATCCAAGATGATTTATATTCAAGTTGCATAAAAGCAGATGTGAATGCTGACAACCCAATGATTAAAAAGCAAGCAATTAAAACTGAAAAAAAAAAAACAGTTTAAGCATACATTTCTCAAAGCATACATAGGAAATGGACTTCACATCATATACCGTCAGAGGAATGCAAAATAAAACCCATTAGGATCCTGCACACTAATTATATCGTACAAAAGTTGAAAAAGAAAATGGTATTAGTGGGGTAGATTAATCATGTAAATTTTTACACATGGTTGTTGGGAGACCAGAATGGTCTACCTTTTGGAAAACAGTTTCTCTGTTTCTCACAGATAAACATTCTTTTTTTTTTCCAATTTTTTTTTTTTTTTTGAGACAGGGTTTCTCTCTGTAGCTTTGGATCCTGGCACTCACTCTGGCGACCAGGCTGGCCTCCTACTCACAGAGATCCGCCTGCCTCTGCCTCCTTCCTGAGTGCTGGGATTAAGGGCGTGAGCCACCAACGCCCAGCTCCGATGTTGTTGGGTTTTTTTTTTTATTTGAATTAGAAACAAGACTGTTTTACATGTTAATCCCAGTTCCCTCTCCCTCCCTTCCTCCCCTACTATCCCTCCCTCAACTGAAACCCTACCTATCACATATCCTTTCTGCTCCCCAGGGAGGGTGAGGCCTTCTATAGGGTGTCATCAGAGTCTATTCTATCTTTTCGGATAGGGCCTAGTCCCACCTCCATGTGTCTTGGCTCAGGGAGTATTCCTCTATGTGAATGGGCTCCCAAAGTCCACACCTATGCTAGGGATAAGTACTGAACTTCTACAGGAGGTCGTATTGATTTCCGAGGTCTCCTCCCTGAAACCCACGTTCCTGGGGTCTGGGTCAGTCCCATACTGGTTTCCCAGCTATCAGTCTGGGGACCAAGAGCTCCCCGTTGTTCAGGTCAGCTGTTTCTGTGGGTTTCCCCTGCCTGGTCTAGACCCCTTTGCTCATCACTTATCCTTCTCTGCAACTGGATTCCAGTTCAGTTCAGTGATAGTTGTGGGTGTCTGCTTCTACTTCCACCAGCTGCTGGTGGTAGCATATAAGTTAGTCATCAATGTCATTCAGATAAACATTCTTAAACGTTCACTCTTACATATTCTCCCAGGTGAAATGAAAATACACACCGAGAAAGACTTGTACACAAAAGGTTTCAGTGGCTTTGGAAATTGCAAATAATTGAACTTCTCATCCACAAGTGAATTAAATTATGCAATATACTCCATGCAGAATATTATTCAGTAACACAAAAGGAAAATATCGTTGAAATTATACTGAGTGAAAGATGCCAGACAGTAATGAATGGCCCATGGAGGTGCAGCCTCACTGGTAGAAGTAGCTCCATAGGTTCAAGACAGTTCCCCAGTTCCAGCCATGCTGTCTGCTTCCTGCTCCACTGTTAAAAGAACATCTATCTGTTCTTTGCCACAATCTCCTACCACCACAGGCAGGGCTTCCTGCCTTTCCTGTCGCAATGAGCTGAAACCCCTGAGTCCATGAGCCAAATTAAATTTTTCTACCTTTAAATAGTTTCTGACAGACATTGTGGTCACAGTGATTCAAAAGTCACTAACACTTATTTTAAAAATCTAACCTTTTTGTTGTTGTTGTTGTTGTTACTCATAGAAATGATAGAGTTGGAATTTTTCCCTTCTTTGCCTTCCAAACGACTCACAGGAAGACTGACAGAAGATCTAAACCCATCCTAAGGTCTGTTACAGACTTAGAAGTGTGCCTTACCAAGGCAAGAAATTTGCCTCCACGGAGCCTTCTGACCCAGACTGATCAGTCTCCTCTACACCTCTGAGTGTGAGACAAGCCGAATTCCAGACTGAGAACCAGGATATGCCCAAAGTCTGATCCACACACAAAGGCCTTGCATGAGTGCTAGCTTTAGGTAGAAGCCAAGCATAGGAGGCTGCTGTCTGTGTCACGAGTGGACAGTGCTTGCTTATGCAGAATAACGAAACAGGAGTGAAGGACAGAGCAGTCAGTACTCCATCTTGTCCTGATACCACTGGAAAAATGGAGAGGACAGGGCAGCCAAAGAACAGGGTGACTGATAGCAAGTCATATGGATCCTGAAGGTCAGAGCTGCCTCAGCTGACCCTTGGCTTAAACCAGGTGTTGGAGTAAGATAAGAGGAATGCGCTTCAAGGGGAGGGGAAGATAAGAAACCTTCCTTGGAGCCATGTGGATAGGTGGAAACAAGGAGGCTCTTCCAGAATATTTACATGGAGGGTCTGAAAGGGTAACTTTGTTTTGTACCCCATAGGCTGCAACGGCTGAGTGTTGAGTGGTACAGAGATATTTTCAGTTCAGCCACAATTGATTCAGGAAATGGGGTTCAAAAAAATCGGTGCCCACAACTGAGCAGAGCTGAGAAACAATTAAATGGGGGAGTAAGCTCACATATATACACACAAACAGTAGTATTTACCATACAAAGGAGAGAAGGGGCTTCGGAGAGGGACAGGAGGACTAGCAAGGGATGCAGATGTGAATGGCAGAGAAACTTCAGTAGTCAGTTATGATAGTGCACTGTATTTGGGGTACCAAACAGAACCTTGAGCTTCTGAATCTTTTCCTGTCACACATCTCAAATATGTCTGAAAGTGGCT